GCCTTAGCGCCTCGCTGGTAGTTCCTGGGCTGATACTGGCTGTCGCGATTCCATCTTTGGTTGTTATCTCGGTGACAGGTCTGGGCGGCGGGCGCAGCTCGACTCCTAATTTCGCCCAGAGGTCTATGCCTATTAGTACGGCGTTGTCTAGTTGTGGTAGTACGGAGAAGCGGTGGCGGTACGATTTCCCTCGTAACCTGACCGTTGCTTCGATGGTCTCGGCAATGGGGACTTGGGTCCCGTCGGCCAGGCGTATCTGGGCTGCCTTGAGATCTGGGCTAGACGGTGTGCGGTTGATTCGGCGGGCCGTTTCAGCGTTTACAAATGAGATCTCTGAGCCGAAATCGAGGAGGCCCCACAAATGTTGTCCGGCGATCTGGATCCGGAGGTGCGGTCTCGGGTTGTATTTTAGGTCGAATCGGGCTGGACGACGGCCGCGACGTCTCCGGCCCGCACCCCGTTTCCCGTCGGGGGGTGGCAGTCACGGGTGAGGACCCCGTCCTTGCCACATCTCGAGCAGAATTTTTTCGGAGGTCGCTGGCAGTGCAGGCGTGTATGTCCTCGTTGCTTGCACCTCCAGCAACATTCCTCCCGACTGTAGACCGCGGAAGCTACGACCGGGGTGTGGCTAATGAGATTATTTCATATTTAAAATCTTGGCCGTGTCCAAGTAAAATTTGGTGCCTTGTGCACCGGTATTTAATTCTAACGAAAAATAATTTAGTTTCGTTAGGATAACGCATTGTCATCCGCGATTTGGCTCTTATTGCCCGTCTTATACGTTAAATTTATATTTATATTACAGAGCCTTGTTAAACTCTTAAATTTATACACGCTGGCTTAAAGGCGTTTGTTTACCAACATTAATATATATAACAGAGAAAAGTATAGAATCGAAGGGATCTGAATAGCTCAGCTGGAAGAGCAGTCGCCCGGCAAGCGAAAGGTTTCGGGTTCGATTCCCGATTCAGCGACTTTCGGATCTATATTTTTCTCTTGCATTCATTTATTTATTTTCCGTAGGGGGGTTAAAGGGGTATTGAAATTAAATCTCAAGTATGAGATTATTTCATATTTAAAATCTTGGCCGTGTCCAAGTAAAATTTGGTGCCTTGTGCACCGGTATTTAATTCTAACGAAAAATAATTTAGTTTCGTTAGGATAACGCATTGTCATCCGCGATTTGGCTCTTATTGCCCGTCTTAGAAGTTAATTAATTTTGTCATAAAAACTCGAACCTTACAATACAATAAAGTAGATTTTTAATAAGGTAAAATACGATCAGAATATTTATCATTAAACAAATAAATTGTTTTATCAAATCCAACATAATTATATCTTTACATAATAAATATATCTATTTTCTTTTTCACAATTAAATATATTTTTTGAAAAATTAAATATTAACATAAGAATCAATAAAATCTTTCAATTTTTAAATTAGATGGAATTTTAGAAAGGGTTTCCTTTTCACGTATCGGTCACACAAAATATCGTAACCAACATGTGCGGGTCGCAAATCGGCTGAGAGTGGAAGTTTGGCGCACGAGGCGAAAATTCTTCCTCTCTCTGTTTTCCCCCCTTTCTTCCTCCCTCTTTGCCTTTCCCTTTTCTTTCTGTTTCTCCCTCTTCGACCCACCCTTCCCTCCCTCTCTCTCTCTTTCTCTTTCTCTCTTTCTCTCTCTCGCTCTCCTTTTTCTCCCTTCTCTTTTTACTTATTAAAAAAGAATTATTTTTCAATTGTAAATGATATATGTATTGTAAGCAATTAAACATATATATTTTATATTAGTTTAGATGACATACTTGATTTGCAATGCCCGTGATTGACTGAACAAGATCGTTCGATTTAGTCTCCGAATGGGGCGATGTCAGTCAATCGTAAAAGATTAGCCGGCACAATAATATTTATTTGTATTTACACGAGTTCTTTTGACCTATTTTACTCTATATACATATAACTATCCAGCCATCTAGTTATTAAAGTAAACCGTATTATAATATTTATTTGCTTTATTTAATATTATTCTGACTTTTAACATATCAGGAGACGCGGTAGCGTCTCGCTAAGTTATATCTTTCATTCGTCAAATTAAAATACAATCTACAAAAAAACAAAAAAAAATATCGAAAAATATCGAAAAGATAGCGAAAATATCGAAACAATAACAAAAATTATCCGTAGGACGCTACTGTGTATCCTTTACCGGACGTAACACGATTTTCGTAACCTTGAAAACAAAAATTTGAAATATTTCATGAACGGAAACATATTTTTCAAAAGATGACCATATCAATCGAAAGCTAATCATTTTTAAGGACGTTTCGTAGTCAAAGGGCTACAATACAAAAACAGCGCTAAGTATTTTTTGTACATTACATTTTTTTACTTTTATTTTTTAATTTAAATTAAAAATTTTTATTTAACTTTAAATTTTTTAATTTTTTAAATTTAATTTTTTGTGCCTTATATTACCTTTTTTGAATGTACGTTTAAATATATTTGAATTAAATAATTATTTAGAGATAAATAATTTATTTTATTATATATATCTATTTATCTAAATATTTTATAAAAATATATAATAACTTTACAATGTATATACATTCCAGTTTAAATTAATTACATAATTATTCATGTTATTTAAATGTAAAGATAAATAAATATATATATATATTTTACTGAATTTATTTTATTATTGTATATATTATAAACGTTTTAAAATAAAGCAATAATTATACATTTGTATCATTATAGGAAATTTATCTAAATATTATATATTATGTTGTCACTTACTTAGTGCAACTTTTTGATTTGACTACTTTTTGATGCTAATATTTTAACCTTTTTTCTCGTATTATTAATATAATTATTTAGCGCAATTTTTTGATTTCACTTCTTTTTGATGCTAATATTTTAATTTTTTTCTAGTATTATTAACAAAAATAAAATATAATTTATAAATATAATTTTTGAGAAAATATTTTTGATGGTGATTAGTTTTTGCAAAGAATTATTTTTCCTAAAAACATAATTTTTGAGAAGATAATATTTTTTATTATTATAAAAAACTATTTTTTGGCGAAAGCTATAACTTAGCGCTTTTTTTTACATCTGTGATGTCTTTTTTTGTAGGATACATATATACAGGGTGTCCCGTAAAGTGATAAAACTGTATTCTTGGTGTCATTCTAAGTCAAAAAGTCTTAATACCCCAGATAGCCACAGTAATTATTATGATATCATTTTGATGTCAAAATGCATTATATGCCATCAAAATGATTCATTTTGACATCAAAATAATGTCATAATAATTACTGTGGCTATCTGGGACATATATGCCCTAAAGTCGATTGTTTTAAAGTTATAGCGAAAAAATGCAAAAGTAGTTATTTACTTACTTACTTATAATTTTTAATTATTTACTTATTTATTTATTATTTATTTTTTTACGATCACAACGCAAATAATTATTTTTTGTGCAACAAGTGCGCGGAAAGTCGCCCTTTCCGCACATGATGGGATTTTAGAAAGGGTTCCCTTTTCACGCACCGGTCACACAAAATATCGTGATCAACATGTGCGGGTCACGACTTTGCCTCGTGCGCCAAACTTCCGCACTCTCAGCCGATTTGCGATTTCCCGCACTTGTTAGCTAATATACTATTGTAATGCCAGTTTAGCGTGCAAAAAGTGGCTATTTCTCAAGGATTTAATGTATGCCTTACTTTACCGCACTAGTGTGAGAAAAGCATCTTTATGACTTACCTTACTGCACAGTTTATAAAAAAGTTAATTATTATCCAAGGATACTATTCCTAAACCAACAAAAAAATTAATGTTTGTGGACGCGAAGAACATCGCGGTATGGCCAATAAGCCAATATAGATATATATATTGTAATAATAATTAACTTTTTTATAAACTGTGCAGTAAGGTAAGTCATAAAGGTGCTTTTATGTGTAATTTTCGTGGTAATTTTTGTGAACGCAAAGAACATGGCGGTATGGCCAATAAGCCGATATAGATATATATATTGTATTTATGTAGGAGGCCGAATTATATATTCTTAATGTTATTCAATTATTATTATTTAATATTATCGTTCAATAAATAATACTGTCTTATTTTATGCAATTTTGTTTTTTTTGTTGTAATTTTAAAACAATCAACTTTAAGATATATGTGTATTAAGACTTTTCGACTTAGAATGATACCAAGAATACACAATTTTAGTATGGACATCATGTTGCGGGACAGCCTGTATTGTATATAGGATGTCCGAAAAATCGCCTGTCATTTCGAAAAGTGATTCGAGACAAAAAAAAGAAGAAAAAAAGTTATATAAATATTAGTCCAAAAATAAGTAGTTTTTGAGTTATAAATTAAAAAATAAAAAATTTTTATTTAAGAAAAAATTAAGAAAAAAAGAAGAGAGATGGTAAGCGGACTATAAATTATGAAAATTAAATATGAAAATAGTAAATCAATAAACAATAATAAAAAATATATAAATAAGGCTCATGTAATAAACAAACAAGAAATAGATAAAGGGCAAGAAGAACTAGCTCTGTCAGTTAAGCGCAAACAAATATAATTATGAGAATTTAAACTATGCATAATAATATACAAAAATAAAAATTAAAAAGTACATGAAAAATACGAGTTAACGAACGAATCTTTGGCGCTAAGTCAACATTAAAATTATAACATGTCATTTTACATTAAAAATAGTTGGATGCAGTGACAAAATTCAACTGTAACACCATATGCATTTCTAGATATAATCAATTGCTCCAAAAGATAACCACAAGAGACTGTCTCCAGTTGATAAGTCGGAGAAAATGTGACTAACGAAAGAATAAAGTTCGATATAACGGAATAACCAGACAATCCACGGATTATAAGATTACTTACAATATAATATGCATCACACGGCTCAACATTGTATAATAAATCATAATAAAATATAAAATAACGTATAAAGTTAACGACCAATTGGCACTGTTTGAACGTACGTAAATAATTTATTCTTAAGAACGTAAACCAGGTTAACACCTAATAATCATACTCACTCATGGTTTAAAGAGATCTCAATTATTACAAAAAATTGTTTCAAGAATAATCCAAATTTTATCCTCACTCGTGCTGATAAAGATAATGCCACTGACAAGGACAAATACCTATGTAAAATGCTTGCAATTCTTGATGGTATTAAGACTTACCAATTTGTTAAAAACAATCTCACTAAAAAATTATCTAATACTTGAGTATTTTTTTAAAAAATGGAAAAAACATAATTACATCTCAGACTCTACATACAAATCCTTATTGGTTACTGATGGAGTCTTACCACAAGCTTATGGTCTTCCCAAGATAACATAAGCTTGACTGTCTCTTGAGAATTATCGTCTCTTCTCTAAACAGTCCCTTACATCAGTTTGCTACTTTTTTTGCATCAGATTATGTTTACTAGTTTTCCTGAAGCTCCAAGCCACGTGCTTAATAGTTTCACCTTGTAGACAGACTTCGGATGATTCATCTAGATAAAAATTACACCTTTATTTCACTTGATGCTGTTTTACTAATATACCAACTGCCATTGCTTTGAATAGTATTTCTAACAAATGGAATTATATCTCTGATAATTGTGAAATTTCCAAATCGAAATTCTTATCAGCAGTACAGTTCATTATTGAATCCACCTTTTTTAGTTTTAATGATACTATTTATCAACAAACGTTTGGTACACCCATGGAGTCCCTTCTCTCCCCCATTATCGCTGACATTGTTATGCAAGATGTTTAAAATTGGGTTATTAACTTAAGGTTTAACCTTCCGTTCTACATTAGATACGTTGATGACATCGCATTAGCAGCACCGTCTTTTTGTTTCGATCATATCCTCAGCATTTTTAATTTCTTCCACTTTAGACTACAGTTTACAATGGAAGTTACAGAACACGATAAATTAAACTTTTTTGATATTACTATAATATGAAATAATAATTTAATATTCGATTGGTATCACAAATCATCGTTTTCAGAGATGTCTTAATTTTTTATTACAACACCCGGTATGCCAAAAGAGAGGAACCGTCATGGTCTTGTTTGATCGAGTTGTATTCTTATCACATCCATGATATAAAGAGACAGGTATTACATTGCGCATAATGGCGGCGAAATAACTAAATTTGAAGCAGCCAATCATACTTGCCCGTAATGACTTTTGCAAGCAAGCATTTAATTGATCAAAAGTCTGCCACTATTTTTTATCTCTCTGCGCATCTCGGGAATGTAATACCTGTCTTTTTATATCATGATCATATCATCAGTTCCATACAAAAAACCTCAACTTTATTTTAAATAATTGATAATGGTATCCTTTGCAGTTTGTTTTTCGAATTTTCCATGAACAGTTACAGAAACTAATTAACATTTTTAATTCCACGGATACATGTTTCAATAATAATAAAATAAAAGCGGAACTTTTTTTATGATTTCTTATGTCTGGAATATCTGAAAGATTTTATAACATTATCAAGAGTCTTTTACTCTCTCTCCTCTCTCTCTCCTCTCTCTCTTTCTTTCCCTATAGCCTACATAAATTGAATAAATATATTAAAGCATATAAAGATCCTCTTGTACCAATGTCTCTTAATAACGTAGCATATAAAATTAATTGTATGGACTACAATGCCTCGTACGTAGGCCAAACTAAGATACTTTTAAAAACTAGAATAAAAGAACATCGTGATCATATTAAACGAAATACAATCACTAACCAATCTGTGATTACTAATTATAGACTCTCAGCTAATCATAATTTCGATTAAAAGAGTATTGAGATCATTGACAATGAAAGTAATTATAATAAAAGACTTATTTCTGAGATGATTTTCATACAGAGACATAAAATAGCCTGAATTTGCAGACTGATACAAAAGGGTTACACTTATTTTAATATTATAGATAAATAACAATAAAATTAATGAAATTGCCAGTGATGAGTAAAACCATACAAATTTATTGAAATTTCGACCTAACTGGCCAGTACAATTTAATTGGAAACACTACGTTTCGACCCTTAGGTACGGGTCCTTTTCAAGTGTAACTGCACAGTAAAAATATACAAAGATTAAGATATGAAACAATAATTTACAAAGTTGTTAATAAAGAAATTTTAAAATAATATAAGCATAATGCAATGTACCTTTCAAGAAGTTGATTTGACAGCAGTAAAATTGCTAATGTTAAACCGGAAGACAAGTAAATCAATTTAAGTCAGACGTTAAAAACACAATAATATCAAAGTTCGACAATACAACAAAATAAATAAATAAATAGACAATCATATACTGTGAATCAACTTATCATAAATAGGATTTAGATTTTCTGTGTCCTTTTGTAAATTAATGTTATTCTTATATTTTTTAATAAAAAACATCTCCGCTAATTCTCTCTTCCTTCTATGTTTTTCGCAATGCAAAATCCTAGGTTCCCTCCATTTAAAATCATGGTCATATTCTATTCGATGTTTGCTAATTACGTTGAAATTGCTATGATGTTGTTTAATATTTTTAAAATGTTTGTTTACGCGTGTAGCTAATTGTCTTTTTGTTTGCCCTGTATATGTTGCATTGCAATCGTTACATTCTATCAGATACACAACGTCAGTTTTTTTCATATGGTTGATCTTATCTTTACCTCTCTTGATTAATCTATTTAATTTTTCGGGATAGTATAAACAATGTCGAAGCCACATTTTTTTAACGCAATATTCAGATTTTTGCTCAAGTTTTTTATATACGGTATCGGTAACAATAATCTCGTATTAAACTTTTTACATCCATTGTCATTAACCATCAAAAATTCTCTACGGTGTTTTAGAGTTTTTATTCTCTTCTCAATATGTAGTTTAATGAAAGGTTTCGGGAAGCAATTGTTGACCAAAATATCCGTAATAATTCTGATGTTATTAGTGTAAAAGCATTCATTTGAGAGTAATAAAGCTCTGTCGACTAAACTTCTAATCGTGTTGATTTTGTACTGAAAAGGGTGATTAGAAAGGAAATTAATATATCTGCCAGAAAAAGTGGGTTTTCTGTACCAATTGGTCAACAATGTCCTCTCCGCTTTTACAACAGTAACGTCCAGGAAATTTATAGAACCGTTGACTTTAACCTCATGCGTGAACATTAGGCGTTCGTGGTAACTATTAAACATTGTTAATATCTCATCAATTTTGGTTTTTGGTGCTATTGCAAAAATGTCGTCAACGTATCTATAAAAGACCGGTATATAGTTTAACTTGCTTAAACATTGTGTTTCAAGCTCGTCCATGACCAAGTCAGCCAATATTGGTGATAAGGGTGATCCCATCGGGCAACCGAAAATTCGTAGTATTTTCCACCAAATTCAAAGCTCGTTAGATCAAGGACAACCGAGAGTGCATGTAAAAACTGGGGTAATGTCAAGTCAGTATTTTGCGTAATATACGTCTATTTCTTTTCCACCGCTGTTAAAGCTAAATCTTTAGGAATGTTCGTAAACAACGATGAAACATCCAATAAAAATAAAAACTGGTCGTCATTGATCTTCGTGTGTCTAATAGCTTCAACAAACGTCCAACTATCCTTGACATACGATTTAGGCTTAGGAATTGAATTTGACAAAATTTTACGTAGATATTGCGCTATATTATACGTGGGGCTACCTACACAAGAGACAATAATGCGTAAAGGATAACTCTTCTTGTGCACTTTTGGTAATCCGTAACACCTTGGAAGATTACCAAAGGACTCTTTAAACGGTTGTATGTCATCTCGTCAACAATACCCATGTCGTGCCAACCCTTAACCAATTCATTCACTTTAGTTTTCATACGATTGGCAGGGTCTTTATTTAGTCTTTTATAAGTCGTTGTGTCATTTAATAATTCTATCATTGTGTCGTTATACTTAATCTTGTCCATAATGACAGTAACTTGTCCTTTGTCCGCTTTTGTGATAAGCAAGTCATCATTTTCTTTTAAAAATTTTTGCATTTTGAAAAACTATTCAGAAAAATCTGTCAATAGCGTTGATATGCTTTTGTTTATTAAGGAATTTATGTAAGGAGCTAGTCACCGAAGTCCGCGCTGATTCCTTTAAACCCTCAGGTATCTTATGTGTATTTGACTCAACACTCTTCATTATATTGAGTGTCAAATCCAACCTATCGCTCTGATCACATTGACTTATCGGAAATCCAAAATTTTCACCCAAGCTTAAAAAATCAGAAACTGATTCCGGAATACTCTTGCTACTGATATTCATTAGCCATTTCGACTTGTCTGATCTATTGAATAAGTGTATGTTCAAATTTTGAGACCGTAATAAATAATTAAACTTCCGAATTAAACAGTTTTTCTTTTTGAGTCTTAATTTTTCAAGCTTGTTGTTGTTCGATTCAAAGAAATTAACCAGGAGTCCTCTCGGTAACATGTTACTCAAGTTATTCTCTATCTCCCTAACCTTGGATTTCAACGAAATCAAGATGAAATTAAGATCCCTAATCTCTAAATTCAAAATTCGTGACCGATTGCGTTTAGCAAAATTTATAAAGGCACGGTTGACTTTAGCGTTGAAAAAGACACATTAGTATATGACCTGTACATATGTGTTGGAAGTACGTCGTATCTTCTGCATTTGAGTAGGAAAATCAATTGTCAATCAATTTAATCTTTGTATATTTTTACTGTGCAGTTACACTTGAAAAGGACCCGTACCTAAGGGTCGAAACGTAGTGTTTCCAATTAAATTGTACTGACCAGTTAGGTCGAAATTTCAATAAATTTGTATGATTATAGATAAACTTCCTAAGATTTAATTTACTTGTTTTGGTGACCAGTTTTATTTTTATTTTCATTTCTCTTTTTCATTTTTCTTTGTATTTTTACCTTTAGTTGTTTTTTTGTTTCTCATAGTTTGTTTTATAACAAATCTCTAACTAAATACTTATGCGATCTGGTTTACATTCTTAAAAATAAATTTGTTTAAATAATGTTTAAAAAGTAATCAAAAATATTGATTTCTTTTCAATATATTTTAACACATTTTATATCTATTTCAAACGCATCGAGTGCATAGTAACGTTTCTTCTTTGTTTTTTAAAAATAACATGTTTATTTAGTTATTTTCTTGTTTCTCAATTGTATATTATAATATCTGTCCTTCTTTCCAATAATAAATATAAAACAGCAATTTTCAGCATTTTATCTTTTTGTTAAAACTTCCATACTAGAAAAGATTGAAACAAAGATTTGCAAAGTTAATCTAATTGAGAATCAAAGATCTTAACCAAAGAAACAATTTGAGATGGATTGGAACGATAGAACTTCTCTTTCAGAGATAATTCCTTCAATGTACAAGTATTTGTATTTTTATTATTGATTCAATCTTCCTAAAGCAAGAGCTTCTGAAAAAAAGGATTTGTTTTCTGTTTACAGAATAAAGTATTCATTCTTTCTTAGGTTTTGGTTAAATAATTCTAGCCTAAAGAGAAATTATCTGTTGAACATTCCAGAAGCCTTTCATTCATTCGGAGTGTACTTTCTTTTTTGGGTTCTGGTGTTAAAAATTTTAGCCTAAAGAAAAATAGTTACTTTAAGTATGTATTCTTTCTCAGATTTTGGTTATAGTTTTTAATCAAAAAGAAATAAAAAAATTTACTATTTTCAAATACTTTATTAAAATCAAAGATCAATATATTAAAACGTCTTTTATATTAATTTTACATGTTTATAGAATTAATGTCAATTATAAACTTATAAAATGTTATAATTTTCAAAATATCTTATTTTACATAATAAATTAATATTTTAAAGTTAGTTATAACTTTATTTTACTCTAATAGTTTCTTTTAATATTTTAACAGATTCAGCATTTGTCCTTACGAAAATCTTTTGTACAAAATTATTTACATACCCATGTTCAAACCGTGCCGATCGGTTGTTAACTTTATACGTTATTTTATATTTTATTATGATTTATTACACAATATTGAGCCGTGTGATGCATATTACATTGTAAGTAATCTTATAATATTCGTGGATTGCCTGGTTATTCCGTTATATCGAACTTTATTCTTTCGTTATTCACACTTTCTCCGACTTATCAACTGGAGACAGACTCTTGTGGTTATTTTTGGAGCGACTGATTATATCTAGAAATGCATTAACGGCGTATGGCGTTACAGTTGAATTTTGTCAATGCATCTGACTATCTTTAATATAAAATGATATAGTTATAATTTTTATTTTGTTTTAGCGCGGAAGATGATTTAAAAATAAACCGAAACGTTCTTTATCTCGTATTTTTCACGTTGTACTTTTTAATTTTAATTTTTCTTTTATCTTAGTAAATTACTATGTAAATTTTAAATTCATAATTATATTTGTTTGCGCCTAACTAATAGCGCTGGCTTTTATTGCCCTTTATCTTTTCCTTGTTTGTTATAAATTATGATTTAAAAAAAATAAAAGTCGTTATAATTGGGTATTCCCACCTAAGTTTTAAGTAACTTTGACGCAGTTTTTCAAGATCATTTTAAGGTTAAATAACCTTTATTTGCTAATACATTTAATCCAAAAATATATTTGTTTAAAACATTTACTAAAATAAATAGTTTTCGAAATATTTGACCGAATTTTTGACGCTCATTATATATATATATATATATATATATATATATATATATATATATTCAATAAAGTATCCTGGGCATGAAGTAATCAATTCTATGCAAAATTAATTTTCGTTGTAACTGACACGCATTATCATCCGTGTATAGCTCTTATTTGCTAGTTTAATTTTCGATTTTATATTTAATTTTATAAGATAATTTTATATAAGAGTAACATTTTATGTAATACTAATTTTAATTTTTATAATATAGAATAACTTACTTGTCGTCCACACAAATTTTCAAAATGTGGTTTGACAAAATTCCATGCACCCATGTTTCGCGGTTCTTCTTGGCTCCAAATAAAAACTGAAAACATTTATGCATAAAAATATTTACCCATTTAAAAAACTTAACTATAATTTTATATGACATTTTACAATATTATCTTATATGTATATTATGTATAATTTAAAATATCCATATTAATTAAATTATTTTACTTTTTGCATTTTTGTATTTTCTAATTTCTTCCAGTAATTCGTAGGCAGGGAATGGACATAGACTTTCTATTCTGATAATAGCTACATTTTTATTCCCAGTACTTTCTCGATAATTATTAAGTGCATAATAATGTTTTCCACTAACTAGAATGACTTTATTCACCTTGTGATTGTTTTCTATAATATGGTCTCCTGTAACATTCATAAAATCCACATATAAACATATAGGCACATATTCTTATATACATACGCACGCACACACTGTATATAGATAAATGATGATATAGTGCGGATAATATATATTTAATATATTTTATGTATATACGTATGCATATATATATATATATGTATATATAATATAGTATATATAATATGTTTATACTATATGTATACATACGAGAGCTGTTCGATAAGTCAGTGACTCTTACAAAAGATGACACTCAAATCGCAGTCTAATTTTATTTATTTGATATTTACCATCTTATTTAAGTATACACACCAAGTTATAAGTAGATCTGTCCAATAAAAATTTCTTGACAGCATTTTAAAGCGAATAAGTTTGTGTTTTTTACTAAAATAAAGAAAAGTGAATTCCGTGTGCTAATAAAACATCATTTTTTGCATGGAAAAACTATTAAGGAAACTGAAGGAAAGCTAAAAATGTATTATGGGGACTCTGCTCAGTCACATAAAATGATTCACAAATGGTTCACTGAATTTCGTTGTGGTTGTACAAGCACGAATGATGCTGAGTCCCCGGGATGTCCGAATGAGGTCATAACTAAAAAAACAGTCAATAAAATTCATGATATTGTATTGGATGTATTGGACCGAGTGAAGACACGCAAGATAGTCAAGATGGTAAATATCTGAAACAAACGTGTTTTTAATATTTTGCATGAACATTTGGGCATGAAAAAGCTGTGCCAGATAGGTGCCGCACTTGCTTACAATCGACCAAAAATGGAATTGCGTAACCATTTCGAAGCAATGTTTGGACATGTTCAAGCGCAATCCAAACGAGTTTTTGCGACGATATACATGTAACCGTAGATGAAACATGAATAACATTAATACTTCAGAAACAAAAAAGCAATGGAAATAATGGATTTTTTCTGGCCAACGTGCTCCGGAAAAAGCAAAAACGGTTCCATTGGCCAGAAAAATCATGACCACAGTCTTTTGGGATTTGCGTGGTATAATCTTTATCGACTACCTGGAAAAAAGGAAAACACTTATAGGATAATATTATGCCTCTTTATTGGATCGACTTCACCCTGAGTTGGTGAAAAAATGACTCCATTTGGAAAAAAAATCCTCTTCCATTACGATAACGCATCAGCTCACACGGCTGAAATTGCCATAGCCAAAATTGTCGATTTGCAGTACAAACCGCTCCCTCATTCACTATATTTTTGAGATATGGCCCCTCGCAACTTCTTTCTGTTTCCAAATATGAAAAAATGGCTCGGTGGAAAAAAATTCGCATCGAACAAGATTATCACTGAAACAAATGCCTATTTTGCAGAATTTGTATTTATTAGAAGGTTTAAAGAAGTAGGCGTCGGCGGACAAACCACCGGCATCAGCAAGCAAGCGCCAGTCAATGATGAGAGAGCGCCGTAGGCTGGTAAGGGAGCATCGGACTGCGGTGACTTAGCAGCGTTGACGGCGGAACGCCGGAGTATTGCGAATGCGGTGAGGTTTCAAGTTTTTTCCTCTTCGGGGCGATCACTTGTAAAGGAATTGCGCAAGTTTTCCGCCTTACAGCCACTTTTTTCTCTGTAGAGGAAAGAGAAGAACGTTCTTTCAAGAAACAAGACGTGGCGTTGGTATAAACTTTGTAACGACATAGTCTTACTAATGCCTCGCGAGACGAGCATTCGCCCGTCTGAGGCTCTGGTCCCTAAACGCCACACACGAGCTGCTACGCTCCTGAGGCGTCCCACTACCTAGCCGCCGCGCTATTGGCGCTATCCCCGCCGCGCATTCGGCGCGTATATAAGCCGGCCGACCGGGTATATAAGTTGGCTCTTTTGTATTCTCAGGGTAACCGGTTTGTTTCTCCCGGACACCGTTCTTGGCTACACGCCTCCGCTGTATTGTATCGAATCTCCGTTACATTGTATATGTCAGGTAGATCCTCTCCGGGTAAGTCCCCTCCGGACACCACCGTGGACTATACGCCTCCGCTGTATTGTTTCCGGTCTCCGTTACGTTATAAATATCGAGTAACATTCCAGACATTGTCATAAGTTACATTTCCGTATCTGTGGCACTGTATTAGCTATTAAATCCGTTGCATTGTATACCGGGTAGTGTGTAAGTCCTTTCAGGATAATATATAAGTTTCCATTGTATTGTATAATCTCAGTTTCATTCCACTTACTAGATAACTTGTAAATTTCCTATAAACGACATATTTTATAATTTACATTGAATAAACAAATTTGTAAAAGAATAAGCAAGTCTGAATCTCCCCTTCTTCCGAAACCTGAAACCGGCGAGCCGATCCGCAGCGTCTGGAGCACCGTTACAACTTCAACGTAGCGTCCTGGCTCTCAGCATTATTGCGCTACCGTTGAGTACCTCTCTCTCACTCTCTCACGCTCTTTCACGTCCTTTAATGCTCTCTCGCCTTCTCTCGTCCTCTCTGGCTTCCTTTCGTCTCCTCGCGCTCTCTCTCTCTCATTCTGTCACGCATTCTCTCGCTCTCTTTATCTCTCTCTTTCCCCCTTCTCCCCGGCCCCCTCCACATCTCTCGCTCCTCCCTCTTCCACGCCCTCTCCCTCCCCCTCAAGCGCAAGGAGGAGACAGTAGAAGGAGGTAGATAAAGGTGGAATATGACAAGGAATAAGAGCTGTGGCTGTAAAGAGGAGTTGAAAGAGTTAGGTAAGAAGATAAACAGAGTAGTCACAATGGTGGAGAAATTAGCAGAGTGGATAGGAGAGGAGAGAGAAAAGAAAAAGGAGGGTGACAGAGTGGCAAAGATAGTGGAGCAGTTAGCAAGATGAATGAAGGAGGAGAGAGAAGGGAAATGGAGGAAAGAAGAAGGAAGAGAAGAGAAGAAAAAGGAAGAAGAAGAAGAAGAAGAAGAGAAGAGAAGAAAAAGGAGGAAGAAGTAGGTGAGAAGGGAGGAGATTTGCAAGAGAAAGCAGTGAGGGAGAAGATAGAGGGAAAAGAAGAGAGAAGGGAGCAGGAAGAAGAAAGAAGAAAAGAGAAGGCCGTAGGAAATAAGGAAGGAGAAGAAAAGGGAGAAGAGAGGAAAAAGCGGAGGAGAAGAGAAACAGCAAGAAGGCAGGAGGAAAGGAAGGAGGAGAAAAGAAGAAAAAAAAAAAGAAGAGGAAGGAAAAGGGGGAAAAGACGGCAAAAAAAGGAAGAGAGTGAAGAAGGAAGGAAGTATGAAGAGCAGGAAAGTCAGCGGGACAGGATGGTAGATTGATGAAGATTGGTCAGAGAAGAGAAAGAGATGAGAGAGGAGAAAGAGAGGCTGAGAAAGAGGAGAGAAGAAGAGAGAAAGGAGAATGAAAGAGAGGAAGAAAGAGCCAGAGGAGGAGAGCAGGAAGAGCAGGAGAGAAAAAAGAAAAAAGAGGAACTGGAGAAAAAGGAGAAAGAGGAAGAAAGAAAATGGCGGAAAATAAAAGGGGGAAAAGAAAGCAAGAAGAAGGCTAAGAAGTATAAAAAGAAACGAGAAGGAGGAGAGACTAAAAGAAGAAGACAAGGAAAAGGAAAGGGGGGAGAGACAAGATTGATGGAGGAAGAAGAGAAAATATGAAAGAAGATAGAGTAAAGGGAGAGAAGGAGGAGAAAAGAGTGAGAAGAGAGAGAAGAAAAGGAGAGGAACGAAAGGAGGATGGAAGAACAGAAAAGGAGGAAAAAACGTGATATGGAGAGGATGGAGAAGATCAGGAGGAGAGGAGGACGTTGTTGGAGAAGTTTATGGAGGTAGTACTGGACAAGAAAGTAGGAATAGTGGAGTCGACAGAGGTGAAAGAGGAGGACGGGAGGATGTTAGTTGTAGTGGAGATGGAAGAAGAAAGAGACAAGGAAGAAGTATTGGAGAAGGGGAGAATAATATGGAGAAGATGGAAGGTAGGGATAGATGAGGATTTAACAGAGGAGGAAAGGGAGGATTAGGTGGTTCCCTCTCGTTGTCCGCCACCTTGTCGTGGTGAGAGGGCTCACCCTTCGCAAGAGGATACTCTTGCGAGGGGTGCCAAGAGCGGACCGTACCTCCTGTAGGGAGGTACACCGGCCCTCCGGTTTAGGAGGGCACCCTCAGGGACTCTGCAGGGGGGGTCATGTGCCTCCCCTGTGGGGTACGGGTCTCGCGCACCCGGGGGTCCCGAGCTGGTGTGTGTGTTTATGTCGGGAGCGCTGGATCAATGATCCCACAGGCCATGTCGACGGGGACCTCGGTCCCCGGCAGGGTCTCCCATGTCGAACGGGCTGTGGGTGAGACCTGGTTGGCTTCCGACATTGAGTGAATGTGTGTGTGGATGGATGGGCCTGGTGGGGCCAAAAGGGCTTCGGCTCGCCACCCTTGGAAAGCTACCAAGTCAAAAAACCACTAAAAAAGGATGGGAAAGCGGTCTAAAAAGAAGAACGCTACCGGCCCAGGCGGTTCGGATACGTCAGGGCCCGGCGGGGAGGAGGGTATAGTCCCAGCTGAAACAGGTCAATGGATGCATAACCTCTTGGGAAGTATAGCAAAAATTGGAAAGCATCTATCAATTCCAGGGACCGGCGAGGAAAGCCACATTATTGAAACAACTAATCATGCAACACTTGGAGAAAGGAAGCAACGTACACAATCACATTCGTAAGTTTTTCGATACCGTCGATAAGCTGAACAAAATGGAAGTAGAGATCAATCCGAAACTTTTAGCCATTATGTTATTATATAGTCTACTTCCAAGTTTTCAGAATTTTAGATGCCCGATTGAGTCACGAGACGAACTCCCGACACCCGAGATACTTTGTATTAAAATAATGGAAGAAAGTGACGCTTGTCATAACGACTCGTACACGATTACGCAGAACGCTTTGATCGCAAATAAACGGATGCAGAAACGACGACCTCAACGTAACGAGAAGGACCGAAACAACAGATCGATTAAAAACAAATGTTTTAAATTTCAGTGTCATCGCTGCAGAAAATTTGGTCACAAAGCTGTCGATTGTCGCAGTAA